CTGTACTAGTGAATCTGTTTGTTAACAAGTGACAACCAAGCTTTAACTTTTTTTTGGATCGAATGTTATAAATTATGTAGGGGCTACCTTTCTCATGGAAACAGCCTCACATTAACTGAAGATTTGGAACATCTATTCACAGACTACGTGGTTTGCTTCTAGCAGTCACTGCACCTAAGGTACAAAAAGTTCTCTTTGATTTCAAAATTTTTTAGAAATCTGATCGTCCAGTGCTTAGTAACTACCATTCTTGGTACAAAATGCATCCATTCTGCACTCCTGCCTTCGGATCTCACGTCCAAAAGGTAACACAACTATTATTATGCCTGAATAGAGGATCTAGAAATATCCCTCTGCACATATGAAACTTTTAAATTATTTCAGAATTTTATTAAAGATAACAGTCATGTTCTTAACTGTAGCATTTTTATGAATACAGACAAGAATATAATAATTATATCTATACAAATATACTATACAAAGTTTCTAGGTTCCCTAATCACATCTGTTTGGCTGTTATGTATAATACAACACTACTTTAAATACCTTATATGGCATTGAACCTATGGTAACGTTTTTAAAAAGTACAAAATCTTTTTATAGATATATTAAGTTTGTGATGAAGCCACGGTTAATTTTTATACTCCATAAACACAACGTGGTTTAACATAGTAAAATCTAAATTTTTTTTTTTGTAGTTTTTTCAACAGTTCACAACAATTTTATTTATATGTAGTAGTATTTTAAAACTGTACTTGGACGTATTCTTGTCTTTACTTACCAGTTTAGAAAATCTGGAAAATGTTTGGTATATACTTGATACTGTATAATGCATTTAATTTGCACCAACAAAACCAATTCTTATTTTTGTTTCGCTAATACCTTGCAAAGTTCATAGGATATGTTTCATGTTTTGCAGGTGTAATCTTTGGCATGAAAATACAGTTATATCTTGAACAGATCACTTCCACATACACAAATGATATACCATAACACAAAATATTCTGGTGAAATCCTATCTGAAATGATCTAAATTTTTGTGTCATGTTTCTCAGTATAAATCATACACACCAATACAGAACAGTATCTCGTATCTAAAAAATATTTTTTGGTTCCTTACGTATATCATTACAGTATTCATTTATGAAACCTCTCATTTTCTAAAAATGCAGGTTTTATTCCATATACTTTTGACACTTTGACGTTTTCAATCTGTAATAGTGCTCAACTAGACCCAATATTTAAAATTGCTTGTTGTAGGCTTTTTACACCCCTATTCTGCATATCACAATATTAGTTGCTGTTGTTATAATCAGTCACATTTATTCATGCTGTGAGAGAAAAACAGCACAGTTCAACATTGATGAAATAATTAACACTTAATTCCAAGAACCATTCCTACTATATTATGATACAAATTTAAGAGATTTATGAATGTGTTAGAATTGTAAAGTTTTCCGTTTAATGAAAACATTAGGAAATGTGACTTCAAATCAAATGGTTGCTACAGAATATTACAAGTTTGAATTTAACTGCACACTTTTGCCCAATTCATGCACTATAGAACCTCATTATTTTGGTTTAGTAGATTAATAATTAGATATCAGATTAGCATTAAGTTTTATTTTCTCAGTCATAGAGCATCCAAGAATAGAAATGATAATTAATTTAACACTTCAAAATATACTCATGTGCATGAAAATAACTGTAACTGATGCAAAATGGGAGAAAACATGGTCTTTGTAAAAGCAGTGTTTGTTCTTTAGTTATGAATGTTTAAATCAAATCTGGATTTTATGTATATGCTATTATTATTAAATTTAAATGAAATACATGTATATGCTTAGAGCAAATATTCACTTATTTTTAATGTGTCAAACAATTTATGGATATTAAGAGTTCTGCAGAAAATTCAACTCTTTGAAACCATCCATGCAAATGGGAAACAAAGAAATTTCAGCAAGTACTTCTGTAATGACAGGAAATAATAATAGGCATTATCTAACTATTAAGTAACGATAATAAGACTTATTCTAGAATTAAAATTATTTAATTTCCTGAATGCTTTAATATAAGTCTGGCTACACTCTTCTGTGTGAAAGACCACAAGCCCTTTGCCTGACACACAAAACTTTTAAGCCTCCTTATTTTGCAATAAATAGTTAAAAATTAAAAAATGGGCTGTAACTTTAGCACTCATTTTTCATAATTATTATAAGACCAGTATATTCATCTTTTTGATTAGCAGCAAGTTCACTCCTATTTCTTTGTTTTTGAATGTTGAAAAATTAAAATATCTAATTATTGGTAGCTGGAGCTCTTTTGATATTGGAATGTGTGAATGTGTGAAAGTTTAATTTGTATATTTGTATACAGCTTTACGTACTGAAACTTAACAAATATGCAAGTACTCTTATTAACCAGCGGAAAAAAAAAAAGTGTCCACATTTTTAAGTGACTATAGTGTTTTTTTTAATCTTAATCAATGAAAATCAATTGATATCATGGATGATGAAATAAAGAATGAAAATATATTTTATTTAAGAAGAAATTGGGATAATGTATTAGTCAATGTCTTGTAAGAAACACTACTTATATTATGCTTCATAGATATGACTAATTCCTAATATGTGGAGTAATTTTCAGTAAAAAATAATTCAACAATGGATAATTTTTTTCCCAGACTTTATTCAGAATACATAATAATTATTTTACAAAGTTTTTATTCATCTTTTATTTCTGAAAATAAAGACATATCAGATAAAATTCCTTGAATAGAGCATATAAATATTATTATTCAACCATATTACTCAAAAATTTATGAGTTTCAGTTTCAGAAAATTCTCCTGGCAGAGCTTGCTCTTGACTTTTAAATACATACCAGATTCCTGCCAATCGTTTACTGAAAAATAAAAAAGACTAAATTCAATTGTGAAACAGCCAAGATCACTGAAAACAATGCACTATTCATTTTGCAAACATAAGCCTGAAATATTAAAAATGATCAGATTGAGATCAGATATGAGATTATTTATGAACAGAAAAAAATTTGTAGTACTTGCATACTATCCCATTGGCCATGAAAATTGGTGCAGAACCACTAATCATTCCTGAGGAAATCCTTCACAGTCAATGGGATGAAGTGTTAAGTACAAATTCTCTGATTCCTCTTTAAAAAATAAGAGAAAATTTTGGCATGTAGGTCCCCGAGAATGCATTGTTAACATAAAATGAACTATTCTCTATTATCCACAATTGGGGGTATCACCCTGGCCAAAAGGGTTCATTGTTGCCTACTTTAACAATTTTCTCTTATACTACCAAGTTACATACAAACATAAGCATTTTTATTTGTTTATTGGCCATATAACATCATTACAAAATAAAGCAAACTAAAAAAAAAAAAAAAAAGTGTTTTTATAGAAACTGTATGGCAACAGATGAATTGCAAAATATTTGTCCATTATACTTTATATTTTTCAAGCATCACCAAAGGAATGGAATGCTGTCCTGAAAAACATTTCTTAATTTAAATTTCTTTAAATATATCAATCACTTAAAATTATATGCTTGTATATCAATTTCCGGAATTCAGTTATATTAACTGGCGTATTTAAACTTTGATTTTTAATCCTCTGATAAGCATAGTAGCATACTAAAACACCACAGCTCATATTATCAGTTTGCAAAATATGTGAAGGACAAATTATTTTCCATTTAGTGCTAGTAGCAAATATTTTAGCTAAAACCTCACACCATGTATGAATTAAAATTTGATACTCTTGCCCACATGATTTATTTTGTGGATCATAAAATTCAAAAACCATATCTGGAATATTTACTATTATTAATATCCAATGACAATTTAAATTTGCAGGGATAAAAAAATAATTTCGCTGATTTCAATCTTGTTAGTAATGGATCTTTAATACAAAAATTTGGTTTAGGAATTTGTAAATTAGACTTAACAAAGGCAAAATCTTCATAACTGTTTAATATTTTAAATAAAAAAGCATCAATTATAGTATTATAGAGCCATCCTTTTCGAAAACATGAAGATACAGATTTAAACAAGTGTTCTTCTTCATTACTTATAAAAGGATCTATAGATTTTAACATATATGGTGTAATTTCAATATCATGTATTTTTAAACATGATTTGGTCAAATCTTTATTATTCATTCTAACATTTACTGAAAAGTTTTGCTCTGCTGATGATAAATTTATCTTTTCCTGTGTACAAGGTGGAACATTCTCAGTTAAAATATTATAAATATATTTTCTAAATTGAAGGGTATCTAAAGGAAGATTTAAGGCTAATTTATTTACATGTTGAAATGCATAATAACAGATGAAGACCCCACAACTGCTTTCATCATTTTGTAAAGCATGCGGTAGACACTGAATATCCCATGAACCGTTAATTTGTAACTCACTGTTAATTACATTAGACCATTTATTAGTTAAGTTTATGTATTTTGGATTGCATGAATTTATTAACGAGTCATATAAATAAAAGGTATTTTTCTTTAAATCTGCTATGATCAGAACCCAATGAGAATCAATGCAAGCAGGAATCAATAAATATTTGAAAGATTTCAAAGAAACAGGAAAAAACATTTCCAAGTGATAATGCATCAGATAAGATAAGCTGGGTAATCGAGGAATCAGCAAAAGTATATTGATCATCACTTTCTAAAATTTTGTATAAAAATGCATTTATGATTACATCAAATAACCACCCCCTAACAAAATCTGTACAAACCGATTTTATAAAAAATTCTTCACTTTTACTGATATAAGAATCTAAAGACTTTAAAGCAATACGATTGATACTATAGCAGCCAATTTGTAAAATTCTTTCAGAAATATCTTCGCTAGATTTTAATGGAAGGGAAAATGATTTATTTTGATCAACACTGGTTAAATCACATAGATATTTATCACTGTCATTTAAATCAAATGCTACGGCTTTAAATTTAATTTTCTTTTCCACACATTCATTTATTTTCTGGGTCATCTACATTATCATTAAAATCTTGATTCTTATTCTGCTGACATTTCTGTAATTTTCTCTTTTTAGAAGTTTTAAACAATTGTGGGTTAAGTTTTTGATTTGGTGAAACTGGACATGATGCACTTGAAACTGCTCTTGAATTTTCATTCGAGTTTAAAATTCCTCTACATTCTGAAACTAATGAATTTAATGTTGTATGAACACACTTTAACATGACATTTTGGACTTTTGGTTGTCTTATTAATTGCAGTAATTCTTCTACAAGCTTTTCACATGCATTTACTCTCTGTTCAATACTTTGTGGATTGTAATGATTAACAGAATACACATTTATTGATTTCATACTTTCATTGCATTTCTGATTCGATTCAAGATTAATCCCCGAGGGATTAAACACCCAATCATTTTGTCTATTAAGGAATGAATGCACTTTATGTATATGTTTGCACAGCAATTTATCTAAGCAATTGCAGTGATACAAGTGACTACACAATGAGACACATGATACTTTAGGGCATCTATAAAAGCAAAAATCCTGACACGGACAAATTTCAAAAAGACGCTGCACAGTATATATTTTATTTTTTGTCTGAGAACAAACAGTCCAAGAAGTATCAGAGCATTTATTTACATCACTGTCCCTAATTTTTAGTCCTCTCTGATGCCTACTTAAACAAGAAATGGAATTTCTGGGAGATACATTAGTGTATAATTTATAGGTATGATTTAAATATTTATCTTTCTCAATTGTCAGAAGTGTAGAAATTAAAATATCTAATCGTCTATTATGTCTCCGCTTAAAATAAACAGTTTTCAACTGATTGTGAAAAGATTCACAGTACATGTTAGTATCAGTAAATGCATGTGGAAAGTTCCGATAACACAAAGCCCATTCCTCTAATCTATTTTTATAATTTTCAGAAAAATATTCAATAAAATCTCTACTTTTCCTAGAATAGTCATTCAAAAACTTACTTATTTGATCATGAAAAGTGATCTGGTTTCTTTCATGTAATATTTTTGTTAATTCTCCTAGCATTTTTTGTCGCACTTCCTTATCTACCACTTTAGAATTTAGTTGCCGGAACCAACTTTGGCGTACGTGCCACGAACATAAAAGATGCTTAACATCTTGACCAAAAACCTTTGAAAATGCAGGATATGTAACTTTGTCATCATCTGTCATTACACAGTTTACATATAAATTTGGTACACGACACTTTAAACTATTAAATAAACAATAAAGAGAGTGTCAGCATCTAGAAAATTAGTAATAAAATGAGCAACTGGATAGCCACAACCAAATTCATCAGGTACTATAAGATTAAGAAGGTAAAAATCATACTGGTTAGTCTTATGTGTAGAATCGATACATAAAATCTCTGTACAACCTTTTATCATCATTTCTTTCTGTTCACGCGTCTGAAGACCAAGAGCAAACGATACTTTATGATTTGGAAGATTATCTAGATCAGTTGGACCGTACAAAGTTGAATTATTCTGAGGCTTATATAATAACACAGGATTGTATGCTTCACATTTTAAAGTTTCAATGATTGAATTAACAGAAACTGCATCACTACTTGGACGCAATGAATTGTTTAAATATCTAGAATAAGCAGAAATAGTTTTACGGGAGACAAAGCTTTCCTTTACAGGGAAATTATTTCTATTCTCGCGATTTCCTGATCCATCTTGTAAGATATCCCTTATTTTTTGTGGAGGCACAGACAAACGTAAATTTGCTTTTATCAAACACCGCGTACTTTGTTTCAATGGCTGATATTTACAATTTTCAAACTTTTGCTCATGATTATGTTTAGGAAAGTAAAAAACAGAGATTTTATTCATTTCTTCACAAGCCCATATTCTGACTGGACAACATACACTTTTTGAAATTGTACCTTTTTCATTTTTCCGACTAGTTTTTTTTTTTTTCAAAATCAGAATAACCTTGCGTGGTAAACTGACAACAATAATAATGATAAGTTTTAGAATTTTTCGTTACTTTAGAAAACTTTCTGAATGAAGTAAATGTCGAGGTTCCTTCCAGTTCTAGCCAATCTTGAAAATAACTCATTGTTTCAAATGAATATTCTTTTAAGTTATTTAAATTATGTTCATCTGCTAAATGCTTATTAAAATTTAAAACATATGTAAAAGACTTATGGCAATCAGGTATGAAGCATACATACAATTTATTAACTTCTGTGCAAAATTTCTTATGTTTAAAAAATGATAATTTGCAAGGATAACATTTATTACAATTTAGACATTTCCGAGGGTAAACAGATGAAAAATTTTGTTTTAAATCAGGTACTTGTTTATTTGAACATTTTTTTTTTTTTTTTTTGTTTGTTGTTATAAAATGAATTCTTCGATTTATAAGTTTTCAAGCATATTTCACATTTACGAAGATAAGCCATTTCTATTTTATCACTAATACATTCTTTGGTTTCTAATTTTTTAGCACTCAATACATTATCAATGTTTATAAGAATATTACTCTGAGGAGAAGTTATTGAAAGTTTAAAATTTTCAGTTTCAAGTTTTTCTTTGCAATTTTTTTTATGATTATTAAAAGAATTTTTAGTTTTATAGTTTTTTTTTTACAAATATCACATTTTCTAGGATAAAGCGATGGTGCATTACAGTCAATTTCGGACCCCCCTCCAGTCAGAATAGGACACATAGACTTATTTTTCCTCACTTGACAATTAATTTCACTGCTTTCTACATGATCTTTTAGTAAACAAAATTTATTAAAGTGAAAGAAACTTAGGCCTGAACTACAAGAAGTGCTTTTTCTGGTCATAGAAATGTTCTTTTGCTGCAAAACATAACTAGAGGCAAAGTCAGAGTAAAAATCATCTTTTGTTGTACACAATTTAGGTTGTGAAATATCAAAATTTGTTGAATCATTTTTTAAACTCCCTTTGCCACTAACAGAAGCACAATACAATGGATAACAATCACTGAAAGAAACACAGCACTTGCCTGCTGTACACTACAACCAGCAGCAGTGACTGCATTCTTTAGTGATGATCCCATGTAGGCCATTACACTTCTTAGGCGCAAAACAGCTGAAGCAGCATTCTTCAGATGCAAACTGCCACTAACAGTCAAATCCCTCCTTGGACACAAACCATCACCAAAAGCACGAATTGGTTTCTTCTGAAAACTAGCAATTGGGACAGTAGTGTTCGTAGAAGAATTAACAGTGGAACTAGCACTGCTCCTCAGAAAACGGCCAGAACCATGGACTGCAACACGCCTGGAGGAGTCAACATCAGCAAGGATATCATTTCTATGACAGGGGCTGGGAGTGACGTTATTCCTTGAATGCAAACCAGAAGCAGCATTCTTCGGATGACAGCCAGTACCACGGACACCAACAAGTCTAGAATGACAGCCAACACCGGGAATGACAACATTCTCAGGACTTAGGCCAGGGGTAGCAACGTTCCTTGGACGCAAATCAGAACCAGAACGAGGGACGGCAGCATTCCTTGGACGTGAACTAAAAACCATTGACATACTTAAAATGAGAGCCAACACTACATATGGCAACATTTCTAGGATGACATCTAGGTTTAGTCCCATTCCTTACATGCAAACCAGAACCAGTTCTATGGACAGAAGCGTTCCTTGGGCGAGATCCACCACCATGGCCAGCAATGCAAAGAGACCGAGAGCTAGCATCTGGGTTGGCAACGTTTTTCGGATGTGAGCCAGGGGTGGTATCATTTTGCAGATGCAAACTAAAACCATCTGTGTGGTTAACAGCATTCTTTGAATGAGAGTCACCACCATGGACAACACATTTAAAACGAGATCCAGCACCAGAAATAGCAACCCTCTTCAGCCGAGAGCCAGAAGCAACTTTAGCAGCATTTCTCAAATCAGAATTAGCCTTCTTAGTAGCATCTACAGCACAACCATGCTTTAAAACAGTTGAATAGAGAGGATAAGAAGGGCTTGCAGAAACAAAAGAATCACTCAGAGGTGGAAAATCCAATGTAGTAAATGAAACACAAGGCAATACAAAAGGACTTACCTTTGTAGAAACTGGCTTTGAAGTCAAAACAATCTTGATATTATCCAGGAAAACTGCCGCAAGTTTCTTGTTCCCCAGACGGTTTAGATGTAATCCATCCCTAGCCAATAACTTAGCTCCAAAATGATGAGACGACCTGCAAATAAAAAACGCTTCTCGATTTTGGCAGTACTTTTCAAGTTGAGAATTAATTTCTACAATCTTTCTATTAATTACCTGTAAACGGTTCAAAGCTGCTACTCGCTGATTTAAAGTTGTGAAAAAAATCTTCACCACGTGGTAGGATATCTGAAATGATAACATTGATATTCGGGTTCAAACGTTTAATATCCTTAAAGAGGCAATCGTACTTTTTAAGAATATCTTCAACACTGTCATTCGAATTGTTGGTACCAACATGTACCAAAATCAAATGGTATCGATTGTCCAAAAAGGATATCTTACGTCTTAACCTTTCTATCGTTGCACCAGGAAAAGAATGTAAATCTACTTCATAATTCAGAAGATTCGCCGGTAAATATTCATCCAAATATTTAACCATTGAATCTCCAATTATAAGTAATTTCATCTTTTTTGGTTGCATATCGGCAAAACAAACAACTACAAATCGAAACACAGATCAATAATTATATATGCTGTAAATAAAATGCAACTATAAATTAAATGAAAATCAAACACTAATCATAAATATAACAAAATACAAATAATTATTAATAGAAAAAAAGAAGATAAATAGCTGAAGGAAAGCGAGAAAAATGGCGCAAAAAATACACACCTCACACTCGCTAATTAACACGTGAACTAAATTAGCGCCAATTCTTGACCTCGCGGAAAAATTTACGGGAAAAAAATAACGCCAAATGCTCGCCAAGCTTTGTTGCCAACGGAGATATCAAAGGTACATATCCGGTGATGACGTAGAACACACTTCCGGGTTCCGATTTGCGGAATTCTGTAAAAGGTTTTGGTAATTAAAACGGCCAGAAAAAAGCTAAAGCTTTTTCCTCTTAATTTAATTTTCTTGGTAAAAACAAAGAGGTTTTGAGTGTTTAAATGTTTTCTCACTACTAAATCAAATTTCTATAAATTAAGTGCCTTTAAATCAATAAAATCTTAAATTTTTCATTAGTTTAAAGCATTAAAAAATACTTGAAATTACTCATTGCTTGTGGCTTCCTTTGTGTATCAACTTCGAAACAGGACGCCAACGTTATCAGTTCATGTCTGTCAACCACTTACAAAGCCCTTAAAGGAATCTCGTGAGAGGGAAAATTTGGGGATGAGAGGGATAAATTTGGGCATCGCGCTATTTCCCTCTCGGATCTTCTGGATTCTCTTTTCTTCTAGATCGCTTTTTGAATATAGTTTCGCCTTTAAATAATATTATACCTCACCGATTTTTTTCTCATACTGTTCTTTGCTATCTGTTAAATGTCCATATGTAAGGGATGGGTTTATTCTTCACGCCTTAAATGAATTTTTTTAGAACTATGAGCTTATATAAATAACAGTGTGCCTCATTGTGTTTATTAACATTATTTAACTAGTAATAAATATGTAGTAAATAAATTAATCTTGTAATAATTATGATAGTTAAATTAATAATACTGTTTTAATTTGTGTTTTTAAAATACATATTACTCAGTTATTTACACTCATAAATATATATATATAATATATATTATTTTATTTATGTTATTTTTTTTGGGTGTATGGCGGTTGTAGTCTTGTATTGTATATGGTTCTATGTTGTTAGTCTGCTGCTGCTTTTGAAAAATGTATGAAAATGTTGAGAAAAAGTAGCATAAGTTACTTTGGTTAAATTACTATATACTTTTGTTTGATGACCTCTGTTGATATCTCAGGATGCAAGCGTACATATTACTTTATATTCCATGCTAAATACCTTGATACGAAGCATTTTAACACCGTCAATATTTGTTTTTTTCCCCAGTAACACATCTATTCACCAGTTACCAAACACACTCACTACACAAACACACCTGTGAGACACTATTTATTGTAAATGAAGACAGTTTCTTCTCCTTTTAACTACACTCATGGACACAATCGTATTTTAGGATATTTTCTACTTCTTTTCCTTTTCTTTCTATAGGCCCCCTTTTTTTTTTTTTTTTTTTTTTTTTTCTTTTCTTTTTTCCCTCATTATTTTTGGGCCATTTATTTAAAATTTTATTTTGTCCCATCTTTTCTTCCTGGCCTTTTGAACTCGTACAAGATGTACGAAGTTCCTTTTTACTCTCCTCAAATACGAAATTGCCCCTCTTTCTATATACCTTTCCTTCGCACCTATGCTTGAATTTTCGCCCATCGGTGCAGAAAGACTTAGCGGGTGCAAAAGAAGACATCTGTCTGTCTACAGTATTTCGAATAGTCTGTCTTGGGTTACAGTATTTCGAAAAATCTGGCAACACTATTCTACATGGAAATTGTGTATGTTTGCGAAATACGCTTAGTACAGAAACAGTTCTTGTTGCAAATTTAAATCAATTCCCCTTTCTCTGTAGCAAAATACTTCACAGATTCTGTATGATGAAGTGTAGAAATTGTTCTGGACATTTAAATGAGAAACTTCTGTAAAAAATTAAGCACTAGCTAATAATGCTAGAAAAAAAAATTAAAGTTCAAGTAATCCTAATGTAACATATAAGATGCAGTTGTATAAATTCAGACATATTCAGCGTATATTTATATGATAGGGCTAGAAATGTTTTTCGTGTGAAATGATAACTTTATTTTTAATGAAGTGTTCCAGGAAATCAAGGCATTTTCATATCATGCGTTAGATAAGTCTTAAGCATAATATATATAAAATTAATCACATATATACTTGTGCAAGATACCGAAAACAAGTATGAAGCATTCAAGAACTACGTTGGATAAAATTTTTCTTAACCAACGCATATTACATCAATGCAGAGCATTACTGTCATTTTGAAACATGTGGCAAGTTAAATATCAAGACTAAGTTTTGAATTTTGTATATAGGGTAATCTTAATGTTCTAGGACATACATAACAAATTATTTAAAGTAAAAAAAAAAAAAAAAAAAAAAAAAAAGAAATATTAAAAAAAAAAAAAAAACATGTATACCCATACTGGAAAGAAGGCTCGTGTGTGTAAGGTGTGCAATCAATCACTGAGTCCAAAGTCCTTAAGCTCGCATATGCTTATCCACACAGGAGAGAAACCTCATATGTGTGAAATATGTAAAAGGTCATTCAGATTAAAGGGAATGTTAAATAAACATCTGCTTACTCATAAAGGAGAGAAACCTTATGTGTGTGAAGTTTGTAACACATCATTTACTGTAAAGGGTAGTTTACAGAAGCATACTCTAATTCACTTGGGAGAGAAACCACATATGTGTGAAGTATGTAGTAAGTCTTTTTATCAAAAAAGTAATTTAAGAGATCATATGCGTATTCACACAGGAGAAAAACCTCATGTGTGTGATATATGTAATAAGGCTTTTAATAAAAGAAATCATTTAAAGGCGCATTTGCTTATTCATACAGGTGCAAAACCTCATATGTGTGAGGTCTGTAATAGGTCATTTAGTCAAAAGGGTAGTTTAAAGGAACATGTGCTTATTCACATGGGAGAGAAACCACATGTGTGTGAAATATGTAATAAATCATTTCATCAAAAATATAATTTAAAGGAGCACAAGCGTATTCATACAGGAGAACGACCACATGTGTGTGAAGTATGTAACAAGTCATTTAGACAAAAGAATTGTTTAAATAAGCATCTGCGTATTCATACAGGAGAGCGACCACATGTGTGTAAGATATGTAACAAGACATTTAGACAGACGGATTGTTTAAGTAAGCATATGCGTATTCATGCTAGAGAAAAATCTAATTTTCTTAGTTGTGCAACGAATCCTTTAGACAAGTATATTCATATAGAAGAAAAACCTTGTATATAAGGCATGTAAAAACATTTTTATTAAATGGTGATTCAAATGATAACATTTATATCTATGTAGAAGAATAATCTTGTGACTTACGTATGTAACAAATCATGTGGGCACAGGAAGAATTTATATGTGTATCTTCACAAAATAGAAGCCCCGCGTCTTTTGAGGAAATATTAGATTAGTAAGAACCTTTACTTACTAATGTATTAAGCATTTGTCTATACAGCAAGGAAACCTCATTGTGTGAGCTGTTTAATTTGTCATTTTATCAAAGTGTTTAATAAAACTATTCATTTGTTTCTATGAGAGAAAGACTTATGTGTGGAACATAGATCACAAGCCATTTTAAAAGAATACTGGCTTGAAGCAAAATATGCTTATCTGTGTAAGTCTTCTTGTGGAAATAGTGGTCATAAAATGGCATACGCATAGGCTGATCGAAAAGAATCAGTCGAGTGAGTTTGTGTGTTTTGTATTTCTTTCCTTCTGGCAAACTGGAAACCCTAACACTTAATTGTGCTTTTTACAACATTTTGTGAACACTACAAAAATGTGAATATAATGTTTTGAGTACCAATTGCATGATTGTATTAAAGGGACTCTGCAAAGGAAGTGTTATCAATATGCTAATTGCACAAGACTCGACAACAATAACCAGCTTTTCCATTCCTACCTCTTTAATAGATATAAGAAAATCCAACAAAGAATTTGCTTAAAAAATTATGAACTACATGACTTTAGTTTTGAACTCCCTTTTTTCCCAAGGTTTTCCAATGGTTACTATAAAAAATAATTTATCCTTATTAATGGCACATTGGCTAAGTTCACAAGTCGTTATCTTTCAGATATTGTGAAAATGTAACATATAAGATAACTATTAAATGAAAATATGGTGTGGCCTATGGTACTCATGAATTGTTTTGATTATTCTATTTTATTTCTTTAAATGCTTAAAATAATCATCAATCGGAACTTAATGTTATCCAGGAATTCAAAACCTTCCCACAAGAACTTTTCAAAGTTTCAATTTTTGACATATATAATTTTTCATTTATAAATATCATGAAATTATCAGTTATTAGATTTGAGAGGGGATACTGATATGAATATGCAATGATTTTAATTTTTAATGTAGTTATTTTATTCCATTTAAGGTAAGTATGGTTTGCAAACACATTTAATCATTTTACAATAAATGTTTAACAGTCGATAAAACTCGGGAAATGTTGAATTCCAGAAATGTGAGAATTCCAACTTGTTGAACGTATAAAAAATAGAATTAACATTAGAAAAGCTATAACAATTGGAATTTTTCGGTTCTAAAATTATTAAGACAACCGTCTTATCTCTTACCAGTGGCAGCTTGTAATAAGCACTGTGGAACTGCAGCACCCCCTATTTCTACTCATTATTATTTTTAATATCTAATATAATGTGTCCTTTATTCTGTAATTCTTTCTTTATACTTCTACAATGTATAATCCTTAAACTTAATGTCAGTAGCCATCCCTCAGTTTATGAAAAAGATACGAAAGTCTTTGTATGGAACAGTTCGCTTCACAATTCCAGCGGCAAGGTGCATGGCTGTTATGCATATACACACACAGAAAGCAGCACAAGAGCCAGGGACAGAGAAGAGCACTGAACACCTGGGTACCAGGGCAATGAGGCCCTTCCCCTAATCGAATTATTAAAGTTTCCTAATTGATACTTTACATTAACTGGGCAATAAAGTTATAATAAGTATTAAAGCATAGTGATAATCATTTTTTGATATCTTTAAATTTTTTTTATCGTCTTTTTTTGTATCACGTTTTTGATATCTTTAAACTGTTTAGCTGTGCCATTCGAGGTAGGTATAAGAGTCTGAAATAAAAGGGGTTAACACATTGACAAGTATGAAAAGTTTTAGTGCTGCTAGTAAAACATTTAAATGCAATAGGAGCAGTTGACACTTGAAGAACATTCACAATAATACAACAATAAAATGCAAGAATATACATAAATATACAATAACTATAGATTTAATATGGAATATCGGTTGATCTTTACATTATGGTAACTTGGCGATTTTTTGGCGAAAATTTGGCGACCAACTCTCCTACAGCAAACCTCTATTTTTTTTTTCCCGCCACCATTTTGTCTTCACGAAGTAAAGACATGTTTCTTTTCCTTTTATCTACTGAACACTTCTTCCAACAATCTACTAGCCGAATTACACTTATGCTAAAAATTTTATCTAACAAAACTGCTTAATCATGACAAATATTCACTGCAAAATTAGGGAAAAGTGCACAATACCATACTCCTTACGCGTTTTTCAAAATAACACATACACATAAGCCATGTACACGTCGACTTATTTTCACTTAAAAAAACATCCCAGAATTAAACAAAAATGGCATTGCGCACACTCTTCACTATATCCATGTACACTGCTTTTTTCTCATAAATTAGAAAAATTTCACGAAAAATGCATAACAATTTCTGAATCTTTAACCCGGTAAAAAGAACATATATGAAATTACCTTATCGCGAAAAAGTATATACCCTTTCCAAATATAAACATTTCCACGTATAAAATAAATAAAATATCTAAAAACTTTTACCTCTAAATTATCTATTATATTTTAAACGTCACCAACGAATTCATACCGCAAACATTACAAATACTTAGTGTCAGATATTTAAATTATTTCCATGCACGTTTACTTCAGCTAAAACGTATACCAAATTCCTACAAACATAAAATTCACAAAATAACTATCATTTAATTAAAATATCACTAAACCATGTACACGTCGACTTATTTTTACTTAAAAAAACATCCCAGAATTGCACAAAAATGGCATTGCGCACACTCATCACTATATCAATGTACACTGCTTTTTTCTCATAAATTAGAAAAATTTCACGAAAATGCATGAAAATACTCAATGTATACTACTCAAATATATTCCAAAATACTACAAACATATAACTCACAAAATCACGATCATTAAATTAAAATATAATTAAATTAAAAAAACACTACTTAAAATATAAATAAGCACATACATTAAATAATAAAAAATTAGATTACAATCCTAATTACTTTAAACTAAATCATTGCTAATAACAATTTTCAAATAATACCATTTTAATTTATTTACTCCTTACATTTAGAACAATGCATAAAAATAATATCCTCAAATGATTAAAAATACTAACTTACCTAATCTTCTTCAGAATCTTCATTACGTCGCTGCAGTACTACTGCTAATTTCTAAATCCTAAATCCAGTAGTCAACTAGAAGTCTATTCACCAAGTAATAAGAAATTAATAAAATTTCACCTATACTCAAACTACTTTCAGCAAACTAAGTACCCTTCCTTACACTCCTTTTCACAAAATGTCCATTTTCACCATATTTCTTGCACCGCCATTTAAACTTGTAATATCCTTCCTTTCACACAATTTCAACTTATTATTATTATCAGATAAACGCATTAAAAATTTAGAATTCACTTTACAAAGCGCCATGCAATCCGAAATTAATCAACACTATTTCACACCAACACACAATGAAGCTTTTCCAAATTAACCCCCTTTTCCGATTAAAGAACTGTAATTCGTCCATTAATGTCACGTTTCACACAACACAGAATATAGCTAAATACGAAATTTCCAGATTTCCCCCCTTTTCCGATTAAACAACTGTAATTCGTCCATTAATGTCACATGACATATCTCATGATCTCTCATTTCCCTCACACAAAATAATGCGTAATCGGAACTGCGTGCTTCTCACATTATTACCAAAGTCCTAGGTAGTAACCTTTATCGCCTCCAAACTGTCGCCAAACTACCAGTTACCATATTCTAAAGATCATCCGGAATATCCAATAAAAACCAGATTACATGTTATAAATATTGAGGATAGCCATAGGTCTGTTTAAATTGGATAGGTCATTATAATCATAGTCACAGATTTTGTGGCCTGGCTTTTGTGAAATTTGTTGGTAATGTTTCAGTAGTGCGTTCTAAGTAATATGAAGTTACGTTCTTCGTGGATGCAGCTATTGCTTAAGTACTAAGGACAATTTGTAATTTGGCGGAGAACAACAATTCTGCGCCGTTTGTAATCTTTTTCTATTTGATTTACAGGCATCAGCCCAGACTGGACATGCATAACAGAGTAATGGACGTAGAACGGATTTATAAATGAGCAGCTTGTTATCTAAAGATAAAACACTGTTTCGAGTGCCGAAATTCTGTCGTGTTGTTGAAAACGTGATTTCTTTTTACTCCGCTCGTATGGTATTTGGCTTTTCTGTGCATGCACACTTACGAAGCAGTGCATGAGGCCGAGAGGAAGAAGAGCACTGTAGCTTTTGCAGTGGCGAATCTGGCATGCCTTTGGGGGGTGGCTTCTTTTTTTTTACTCCGTGTGTACTGTGTTTAAAAAAACCATACACCATATTCTTCATTAGATTATTTTTTAGCTATTCTATTTGATTCATTTTTTCTGTTCTTTTATTTTACAGAAAACTTTAACCATGCCGTTGCATCCTCAAGTAATTAATTCTGTGACTTTAATTGAACTTTAAGAGCTTTCGTTTCCACAGCTGTCTCTCCACGAGAAAGTTACAATTAAGAAAAGAGGTTATTCAACACCTGATATTTTAATATCTCTGCCAGGCATAAGCAACAACAAGAAATATATTCGTAATTTCAATTCTGAATGGTACAGTGCGCAAAAAAAAAAAAAAAAAAAAAAAAAAAAGGACAGTTCTATATCTCTCATTCTACTGGGCCAATTGACGAAATTCAAATTGCGTTCTTCATGTCTCGATAGCGTAACTTAGGATATATATTAGATTTATATATAGCACTATTCTAACATAGGTATTTTGACACAAAATCGGACTTTTTCTGAAATAACATGCCAGTTATTTTTTACATATTTTGATTCTAGGACTCAAATTATGCCCAAATATGAAATTTTGTAAAATTCGGTGTGAAATTTACGAAGAAATTCAGAAATTTATGTTGCCACTTTTTTTTGAGTTTGTGCCAAGAAGAGTTCACTTGGTGAACTTCTTAATATATGGCAACCTATTTTCCTTTTCTGTGAGAGGGAAAAAAATCACAACGTTTTTTCCTTCAAATAACATTCTTTATATGATATTTTCATGTTATTATTTGAAACTTTTTTTTTTCTTTTCGAATTATATTTTAATTGTTCAAGTTGCATGGTTTCTTTCGAATAACTGTTTTAAAAATTTCTATTTACCCATTTGAACCACGTAGTTTAAATATAAGGTGCATTGTTTATTTTTTCAAATAGTTTTCTTCTTTTTTTTTTTTTTTTTTTTAGTCACATTTTATTATTTAGGTAATTTTTAAAATTTTGTGTTTCATTGTCTCTTCAAATTTACTATTTTTCATTCGAACTGAGCATTTTAATATATTTATTAATATAAATTTTCCGGGATTTTATTTTATTTATTTGAATTGTGTTTCTTTAGGAAGAATGCTTTATGTCCCAGACTACGATGCATCTGAAAACTGAATATATTTTTAAAAGAGAAAATACAGTAAAGCACAGTTAACATGCCTTTCAATGTTCCATTCAGAAAAGATATATAAATGAGAAAGATGTATAACCGACATTTTAACTTAGGATAACTTGCATATATTGCTTTAAATAACTTTAGCATTATGCTCATTGTTTTACACAATTTTATCATCCTACATTTAGTTTCTTAAAATGTTATTCATGTTTTAGTCAAATATTTTATTTTTGAAGTCGCAAGAATCAAATATCATAACATTAAAAAGTTTCAAATTTTAAAAAAAATACTAAATTTTATGCAAAAAAAAATTTTTTTTTTCTACTTAATGGCTTGCTCTTTTTCTTCAGGCGTTCTGC